CCCTTACCTACTTTGCTATATCGACCCCGGATGGCTCTCTCCTTGAAATGCTGTGACAAAAAACTGCACATACTTTCGGCCTGCATGCATTATCACGAAGATGGGTGGGAATCACTGGACAGATAGCAACGACAGACACAACAAGAACTGTTGTCGCAACACAGGCAGGCAGCAACAGTAACATCACCACCAAAAGCCAACAACAGTAGTACCAGCAACAACTGTGAACACCGCATTCGTCTATCTGCTCGTAGTATGGTGCACGTGTGTACGTATGTATGCATGCATGCATGCATGTATGTATGCATGTATGTATGTGTTTGTGACTTAATGGGGTATACATAGGCCATTAAGCAGTTGGCCACGAAGCAGGAAGCAACGTGTTGTCGGCCTTCTGTTGTTGCAAGGCGCGTCGTTGATGGTCCTGCCACGCAGAGGGGACTGCCCTTGAAGCACTTCCAAAACCTCCTGGAAACATCCGCAGACTCTGCCAGTACTCTGTACTGTGCGTGGAAGATGCGGTTGGCTGCAATCCGGGATCGGAAGTTGATTTCCCAAAACCTGAACGTGTCTATTGCTCGATTTGAAGCTTAACATTGGCAAGAACTGTTAAATGTCGAAGTCGTTAAGCGGTTTTGCGTTGAACCGTTGGACAGCTCTTTCGCACCACTTTGCCGATTGTGAGGATTGTGTCGGCTGGTCCTCCTTCGCGAAGAATTGGACCTTTGCCAAGGAGGCGCTGCCTTCAACAGTCCACAGGAGGGATGTAATTGCTGAAGCATTGACCGGGTAACTTGGATGTGCTCTGGGTTATGCGTGCTAATGAAGGCTGGAAGGGGCATTTTTGAGCATCATGTTCTACATCTTGAGATTTGGAAATCACGCTGGTGTTGTGTCCTGTCAGAAGCTTGGGAGCTTGGCACTGTTTTCATGCTTCAATGAAAGGAGCCATCAGATCACATTGGACCGCTCGACGTGGCTTGCTAGGCTAAACTGCTAGACCCACCCAGGCACTAGAGGTGATGTGCGGTGAGCGCATGACTGGTGTCCTCGTGGCCACGAAGAATAAGCCAGGCAGGATGCTGAATCTTCCATGGGGTCGTTGGGAAAATCAGAATGCGAATCGAACTACTGTTGCAGCCTCGAACATCCTGCAGAAAAGGAACAAGCGTGGTTGCAGTAATCCCACAGTGAGGTGTAAGCGAGAGCTCGGCAGCTGTTCTGGCACGAACAGCTTTTGTGCAAGCTGCGCCTAATGAGCTCCGTTTCGCGTTTGACGGCAGCTCCTTTTGGCTCGGTATTCTCCAGGAGAGTAGATGAAAAAGGCTTTTCATGAAGCCGAAGCATGTCGATGACATGGTGGCACTTTGACATGAAGCCCATACCCTTCATTGCACAATCTAGCCAATGTGAATGTGTGTTGCACCTACGCCCGGGCAGTACTTCTCAAGCGATTGCATGGTTGCATACCAATGACTGGCGTCGAAGTGGTGCCGCCGCAAGAAGATCATAGACCGGCGTTTTTCGGCATTTCCGCAAGTTTCTTCTGCCTCTTTTTGCGTTTGAGCTGCATAAAAGAAGTTGAGCATCTGTATTTGTCTTGGAAAGAAACCTCAAACTTGTAGCTTTCAATCTGATTTTCGACAAGCTTAGGTATTACAGTTTTTTCGCTCGTTTCGCGGTTCTCATCTATACGCATTATGGCTTGGATGGTCGCGAGATTGGGGTGATTGGCCTTCTGAGCATCCTGGCAAGCATCCCTGCCTCCTCCTTTTGGGGCCTTGTTGCGGACCGCAGCGGCCGTCGGAAGCTCGTCCTCGCTTGCTGCTTGGGAATGGCAGCGACCTTCCAAACGTTGCTGTGTTTGGCTCCTTACATTCAGAACCACACTTATCGATTCATGTACTGCTGCACAATGATGGTTAGTTACACGGCTGCGCGTGGCAACGATTATGGCCAGCTCCGAGGAATCACCATGAGAACACTGGAGAGGTTCAATCGTCAGGGAGCTTATGGCAACCTTCGCCTTTGGGGAGCTGTGTCCTGGGGCATCGCCCATCCAGTCCTGGGTTGGCTTTTGGACGTAGAGCATGGCCAGCTGCAGATGCTCTTCATCGGCAATGCATTAAGTGCACTGTTGGCCGTAGCGTGCTTCTCGCTTCTTCTACAAAGTCGATGGACCGATGAGGGTTCTGCAAGCCAGCACTCCGACGGCGGCCGTTGCCAAGGCGATTGCGATGCAGGTGGAGCGGAAGGGGGGCCCCAACCCGCGCAGCAAGCCTCGCTGCGTGCACTTTTGCAAATCCTCTATTCCAGGCCCGAGATGATTACATGGCTTCTGTGCGCAGCGACACAAGCCATGGGCATGCAGCACGTGTTCCAGTTCCTCTTCCTGTACATGCAAGAGCGTTTTCACTCAACCGACATCCTGATGGGCTTCAGTGTCACAGTGACGGTTCTCTTCGAGATTCCCATTTTTGCAATTAGCGAGAAGATCGTGCCGAAGCTGGGGCCAACGGTTCTCATTGCCATAGCCATGGCTAGCTTTGTTGTACGTGTGCTGGGATATACCATTGTCCCTGGAGCTGCTTGGTTGCTTTTTTTGGAGCCGCTACATGGTGTCACCTACAGCTGCTTCACCCTTGCAACTGTGCATTACTTGAACGAACATGTTCCCATGCACATGATATCCACGGCTCAAGGCTTCATGTCTTCGATCACAGCCTGCGGCTCCGCGTTGGGAGCCGTGCTCGGTGGCTGGCTCATGGATCTGCCAAATGGTGGCTTAATTCTCTTTCGTTCAGACACTGTCATCATGAGCCTGGTCCTCGTCCTATTCCTGGCATCTCAAAAGAAGTCGTGCCGGAGAAGAGAGACGTTGCTGGATGCGGAGTCTTCACCAGTTGGCAACTCCTGAATCCTAGAAATAGCAAATGGAGATTGCTGACCGCCGCGAGCTCGCTGTGTCTCCCAAAAGTTGGTGCTGCCAGAGGCTAGAGTCTGACTAGAGGTTCAGGAGCCTGCCGCGACGATTCCAAGCGGTAGTGCGAAACTAGAGCAGCAGTCGCAGCCAGGTCCCTGCTAAATGCAGCTTGCTCGGGCTGGAATTTTGAATCCTCCTTGCATCCCTTTCATGTCTACTGGCAGGCACCAAAGCCTGCAGCATACCCGCCAGCTGCAAGGGCATCCATGCTGCATGTTTCCTTCCATTTCTTCCATGGATGGCATGTCCAGAAGTGAAATTGCACTGAAAGTGTTCTCAGCATACAAAGGTTTGATTACGCAGACGACATTCTTGTCCCAGGATGAGTTCTTCGCATATGTGAAGCTTGACTCCAAGCTTGTATTTTGCGGGCTGTGCCTGTAAAGCCTTTCTTTTTCACTTGCACTGAGTGGCTTGTGCAAGTACCGTCCTGGTCCACCATTGCGCAACATGCCCAGTCTTGCATGGCATGGCACCTATCTTCGCTCGGCTCTCGGACGGAACGGCAGCACACAGTGGATGCGAGCCTGTGCAGCCGCCTGTTGAGGAAGCAGAGTCGGTTCCTCTTCCTACCACAAGTACACGATGCTTCGCCTCGAGTCATCACCCAGGCCCTGGCGCTCGATGTGCGCTTTGGCCAGACGGTATGGAAGCAAGATCAGCATGAGGCTTTGTTGGGTTTGCTATGCTACAAATTCCATGAAGAAAAATGTGAAAGCGCAGAGGCGAGTGCTACGAGGCGCGGGGCACACTGACCGTGTGCACTAGGCTTGTGCATGTCACGCACGCATGGCCTGGGCTGATCCTCGAACCTGGAATGCATGGTCATACTGCACACATTGATCTGAGGCCCTTGCTCATGAACAGGAACCTCATAGGCGGGTCGAGACGGAGAAATCAACAGTGGTACCTAAACGTTGCGCATTAATTCTTCCGCAGATACCTGGCAACGGTTGAAGCACATGATCTGCGATGCCCAACCCCAGTGGCTCATATGCGTAATGTTAGAATCCAGAAGAGCATGACAGCACATCCATCAGTTCGGACCGCGGACACCACGAGTCGTAGACTTTTGGGTTGAAATGACGATTATCCACGAGTCTCCCCAGCACCATTTCGTAAGCCTGGCACAATTGGGGCGACAGTATGCTGCTGCTGGACAAACTCAGCCAGTAGTCACTGTCCATGGCTGCTTGGAGTTCTGAGACCAAATCAAATCTGAGCGAGGTGGCTGGAAATACCTGACGGAGACCACCGGACTCCCGACTGACTGAATCAGATCGCAGCCTCCGAAGCTGATGGATGTTCACGGTGATTGATTAGGTCATGAGTGCCTTTGAGTGCTTCCAGGGAGTTTGGATTTCGTAAGTCCAGACGGATGGGAGAATGGCTGGCGCGAAATGGCTGGGCTATGATGTCTCAGAGTAATGTTCAGCTCAGGTGAGTTCTTCAGCGTCGCTCGCCAGCAATGCTTGGGCTAGGAACACACAGCCTCAAAGCTCACTGGTTTCAAAGTTCTTAGCTTGACAACAAGGGAAGGGAGACAATCGCACAGCAAGTGTGCATCTGCTATCTCGAGACAAGGATGCGACTGACATCAAGCAGAGTGCTCAAAGGCTGCTGACCAAAGCTGCCGGCGGTGAATACAGTCCCCGCAGGCATCGAGCTTTTGGGATTCTGCTCAAAGCAGCCATCCAGATGCTGACAGCGTGCGGGTAGATACATCTCTTCGGCTGTAGGAGTGGTGCCGACCTATAGGAGCCTCACTCAGACGTAGCGCAATCAAACATTCCGCAACATTCCGTGTCATGCCTACAATCTACCAATGTTTCCTACTGGTAGCTTGGCAATAGACTATACAAAAAGATATACTATTGGATTCCATAGTATGTGTATCATAGCTTTATTCCCTTCCCTTGAGCTCCGAAGTGTCGAGATCAATGTCGGAGTTTGAGCCCAGACGCATCAGTTCGACGTCATAAAAAGAAAGTGCTTAATATGTGATGCCAATATATATATATATATATTTATTTATTTATTTATTTACATAATATGCAATGTTCTGTGATAAATACAAAGAGTAGTATATGGTATAAAATATATAATCTGATATATGATACATAATATTAAGACTTAGTTTACAATGTCACTCCATTCAGAGAGTGCTACACAGGTATGTCGACGAGAATGCTGGGGACCAAATCTCCGGGCTGCACCCTGAGTATGCACAGATGTCGTTGATTGCGGGCGACGCACCGACACATTTCCACACAAGTCGCCGGAGGATTTTTGGTTGTTGGCTGACTGAACCTCGTGAGCTGTGTAGTGCCCAAGGTCACGCTTGCGAGAGTTCGTCGAGACGAACTTCCCGGAGCGGGTGAAACTACCACAAGGCGCTGCTACGCCAAGGGGTTGTAAGAACACGATCTTGACTCCACGTGCCAAACGCTTTCCACGCTGCCTTAGAGAGGCTTCCGGTAGAGCATGGCGGAACCGCTGACAAAGCATCATCACCTGCACACCGATGCCGAGGAACACGCCTTCTGTTCCCTTCTGGTGCATAAAGCCTCAAGTGGGAAAAAGAAGAGAATGTCTTAGGCTGAGGCAGTGTTCAAGCAGCCCTTCACTCACGGATCACGAGCGGTTTTGGCGTAAATAGCTATGTTGGACTTCACGCATTGGCCATGCTGCTTACATCTGTTCACCCGGGATACGTTCTACACTGCGAGGCTTGATCCCTCCCTCCCGAATGTTCGCAGATCCACACGCTCCCCTCAAACAGCGAAGTACTTCATTGCGCATCAAGCCCTGAAACGTCGGACACATGTCCAATTACCCTGACAGATGTGTCCCTGGCGTTCCTTGTATTTTCCCAGTTTGTGGCTTCTCTGCAGTCCTCGTAGCATACCTGTGTGTGTTTTTTCCACTGCTCTGCACGCTCTTGTTGCGGTGTAGTGAGTTCTTGCAATCATTTACACAAGATACATGCGTGCCGGTCGAATACTTCCCGTTTGCGTCCTATTGCTTATCTGCAGAGGATCTGATGTGTCGCCGTCTCCTGGCGAGCCCGACTTCGAAACCATGAATCGTAGCAATACTTGGGAGAAGAGGATTTAAGGCGAACTCCTGGAATTAAGGGGGGCAGGCCGAAACATGGAAATTATCGTTTTATATATTCGAAGATGAAACGGTTATATGATGTTCAAAATATGCAAACTTTAAAATGCCAAAAAAAGACTATATATATAATATTCTCTACTAAAACGATGTCGTGCTGGTCGCCGCCGTGATTCCTCTGCGCACCCCTGGTCCCCTGTAACTTGGTCCTCTGACGCGTCTCCTTTTGAAAGCCTCTTGCATGCTTGTCTCGCGGTATTAAAATTCTGAAAATTTAGTACCGCGAGCGAGCCCTTAGCTCCCGGTACCAAGAATTTTGAAAGAATTAGGAAATCTCGCGGTAATAAATTTTCCGAAAGTTTGGTAGCTTGAGGGTGACATGCTCGCGGTCATCAAATTTCCGGTATTTTAGACAGGCATGCTCGCGGTCATAAGATTTCCAGGGTTTTTGGCAGGTGTAGGCAGGGCCTGATGAATTAGCCTCTAAGGTAGGAAAAGCATGGAAAGACATTGTGTCGTTGGATTCGAAGCAAGTATTCTTTTCTGTTGAATAGCCTTAGGGGGCGGCAATAAAATGCCGCAGATTTCTGGCAGTGGCTCCAGAGCAGTGCTTTCTGAATGCAAGTGTCTCTTTGTGCGTCTACGTGTGCGTGTGTCTCTGTCTCTGTGTGTGTGTGTGTGTCTCTTTGTGTGTGTCGCTGTGCGTGTGTGTGTCTGTCTGTGTGTGTGTGTATGTCCGTCTGTCTGTGTGTCTGTCCGTATGTTTGTGCATAATTTGTCTGTGCGGTAGGCTGCTTCTCGCTATTTGTTGCTCTTCGTCTATCTCTCTAGGTGCGTCTCCTTATCTATTGAGCCATTAGATTTTGAGTTGAATATTTATTAATCGATTTAGGAATTTTCAAAAATGATATTAGTTATTGTTGTACGAACCGTATGATTAAATATAGATAATTAAAAATTCTTGAAAATAATGGATTTCATAGAATTGATATTTAATTAAATCTTGTGATTTTATAGATTAAATTATTTCTAATTAAATATTTCTTATATTCGGAATATTTCAATTTGATGAAAATCGCGTTTTTTTTTAGAATTATTTAGTGGGATGTCGAATTATTGATTTTATATTATTTTCAAAATTAGAGATATATTATTCTTAATTATAAGATTAAGATGGATTCGTTTCTATTTTATTTGGGCGGTTATTTCTTTAGATGTTTTTTTCGTTTTGGCGATTGTATGCGGATATATATGCCCATTAGAAAGAAATATTTACGATTCCCCGATTTTAGGTTTTATTACTAAGCAATACTTAATATAAACTAGCGTAAAAAAATCTTTCTTTATATTCGACCTTTGCAAAATTAATGATATGAAATAAAAATATTGATTGGCTGCTATATATTATAGGAGAGGAAGAAGCTATTGGCGCGGATTACGATTCTCGATTGTTGTAAGATATGGAGGTAGGTTGTCCGCGTATTTTCTTTCTTGTGTCTGTGATGTGCGTGAATATCTGTATTGATTGAGTATCTGTGTGTTTGGGAATGGGTATATTTATTTTTCTTTTTATCTCTCTCTTTATTTTAAGTTCTCTGATTATCTCTGTCTGTATATATATGTATCTCGTTAGAAACTGATTCTCTGTGTTTGTTCGTGGGTTATTCTATGGGTGTGCGTGGGCGTATTTGTATATTTAAATGTACCTATATGAGATACTTATCTATTATATCTGAGAGATCGTATTTATATATATATATGATAAATATGAATTGCCCTAGTCGATTCCTCATATATTCTATATTCTATTTTATACA